CACCACCAAGTGGCCATAACTGCTAAAGGACTGTCCTGCATGCTGCCAACCATGGTTTGCGGAAGCATTGTAAATGATAAGGGTCCCCAGTTGTGTGGGGAGGGGCAAGGCGGGCAGTTACAGAGGGGAAGCCTGAGGACCCTGGCCCAGCTAGGGACACATTGAGATCACAGGAGGGCCTTTAGTGTACTTAAAAGCCCCTGCTTTCACCAAAGCAGAGAGGCCCAGGGATCTGCCTGAGGTGACTTGGGCAGGTGGGCACAGGCCCCATTAACCTTCCAGGCTGTTCTCCAGAGCAGGCCGACTGCTGAGAAGACTAGGGAAGTCAGTCACGGGGCTATGATGCAACTGGCCCTGCCCGCTCACAACCCCCCATTCATTGTTTCCTGCAGCAGACAAGTCATGGGGGTGGGCAGCGCAATGATGGGAGGAGGGAAGTGTCTGGGTGGGGTTAGACCTGGCTGTGGCCTTTGGCCTTCCTTGTGGGGGCCTTGGAGCAGACAGTGGTCCAAGTTCCCTGGGAGCTGATGTGGCACAGCGTCAATGGACAGGCTGAGGTGGGGTCCTTGCCTCACTTTCTGACTTTGCTTTAACTGGCGTGACAGAGTTCTAGCATCCTGTCCTGTGTCTGCCACCCCTACCCCCAGTGCCCTGTGCCTTGGGGAGGAGCCAGTGTTGCTAAAATTAGAAGCTGAAAGGACTCCCGGCCTCCCGAGGAAGGGAGACAAGGCTTTGAGGTCAGAATCGGTTCCTGTAGGTCTTGGGCTCTGATCCACCTGTTCCCAGTCCATGGGTTAGGCAGTGGCACTTGTTACCCCCAAGGAGTGTGCTGCTAGCATCTGGGGCTGGCATGGCAGAGTGCATGTTTGTGCAGGAGCCCAGACCTGAGTGGCACTTAACCCTGAATGCAGAGTGCTGTTGGGCAGAGGCTTCAGCACCTGCACGCCTGGGACCCTGCACAGTCTTACTCCACAGTTTGCACCTACTGTGGGTGCGTGCTGTCGTGACTTAACCCTTGGGTCTCAGTTTCCTCATTTGCAATACGGAAAGAAGAATTGAGCTAACAAGATCTACTTGTAGGAAATCTGAGTGGAGGGGGCCAGAGTCCAAGACCTGTTGGCTGAACGTGCGGAATGAATGGAAACCCCAAGAAACCAGCTTCCTGGCTGGTACTGGAAAAGACCCTGCATCTGGCCTGCTCCGTGGTGCCTAACACCCTGGGGCCATCTGAGGGTGGATTGTGGAGGAAGCCAGCTGGCTCCCCTAGTCAGGAAAGGAGCTGGGCTGTGATGTCCTGGGCTGCTCCTTGTCCTTTCATGTTGACACCTTAGCTTTGAGTTGGAATTAACCATTGCTTCCCATGCCCCTTGGTGTTTCCAAACACTGGGTAACACCCTTGGATTTTGCTCTTGACTGAGGGAGATGGGTGTTCTATTGATGCTGTCTGTGTACTAGAGGCACCAAGACCTTGCAGGTAGCCCTCACCCACACTTTGTTTTCTCTCCACAGATGTGTACTCCCAGCAACACCCCTGCCACACCACCTAACTTCCCTGATGCACTAGCCATGTTCTCCAAGCTTCGAGCCTCTGAGAGCCTGCAGAGCAGCAACACCCCCATGACAGCAGTGGCCTGCTCGCCCCCTGCAAACTTCAGCCCCTTCTGGGCCGCATCCCCACCCAACCACCAGACGCCCTGGATCCCACCCTCTTCCCCCAACTCCTTCCATCATCTGCACTGCCCACAGCCCACGTGGCCCCCTGGAGCAGCACAGGGGCCCACCCAGCAGAAAGCCATGGCAGCCATGGACGGCCAGAGATGAGACTGGATGGCACTGGGCTGGAGCAGGGGCAGTCCAGGGTTGTGGGGACACAGAGCAGGGCTGGGGAGGGGGGACATGAGGGCGGGGTTTCTTGAAGATCGCACTGGAAGATTTTATAGGAGAATTTTTGTGGGTGGGGGTACAGTAAACGTCCTGAGCCACTTGGGTTCTTCAGGAGTTTCTCTTGGGAAAGTTTTTTCCTCTTTTTAATATATAACTATAATATATATGAATATAAATGTATGTGAGAGGGGCCTGCACGTGAGGGAATCTCTCCTTGTCAACACCTTCCTCTGCCTAATTTGGGGTAACAAGGATGCTCATAGTCAGATGGAGTGAGTTTGCAGCTGGGTGGATATGCTGCCTTTAAAGTCATGTCTGCCATTAGGAGCCCCCCCCAAAGGGAGGTCCCAAAAGGGTCCTGTTGGAATCATCGACTTTCCTGCCCCATCATTGGTAGATGGCGTTTTCATCTCAGCTGGTGGTGGCCTCAGTGGCCCTGAAACTCATCACCCTGTCCCCAGCTGAGTGTGCTGAGCTCCTAGGACTGAAGAGTTGGCTGACCTCAGTGGACACTTGGCTGTCCCATCCCTTACTGTCCTGGCTGTCCCACAGGTCTCCAGCCTCTGGCTAGCCGCAGAGGAGGACAACTCAGGAGAGCCCTTTGGATTGAGTTCCTAGACTAGAAAATCACATCTCACCAGGGTGCAATTTTAATTTAAAAACTTAAAGACTTTTCTAACTTCCCTGGTTTGTGGTGCTTTTATTTGCTTTGGTGGGCAAGGTCAGTTGGGGCTCTGGCTGGGACGGCAGTGGTATTGTCATGCGGCTGTTCTATTTCCTTGGCAAGGATATGTGATCCCAGTTGAGTTAGTTTTTGGAGAGTAGAGGCAGGGGGCAAGTCCTTCCCTAGTTGCTGTACCCTCCCTCTCCCTCAGCCTAGAAGCCATTGCTACCATGGGCTGTGTGGTTTCTCAATGGCTGTGGCCTTCAGGCCTCTCTACCTCTGTTAACCGCTCTACTGGGCAGATTTCTTGGGGCCTGTTGAACAAATACAGCCATGACCCGAATGTGTCAACCAAGGCTGTCTCAGTGCCACAAAGACTGGATTCCTGAAGGGGCTGGGTGGTGGCTCCATACTTCTCAGCCTCAAGCAGGATGTTAGGTAAGGCAGAGCATGCTTGCCTGGCTGTAGGAGTGAGGTTACTCCTGGAGCCCTTCCATACACTGTTCCCATGGGTCTAAATCCTTCCCGCCACTCCTGAGCGGTTAGGGAGTAGGATGCAGAGCTGAGTCGGGAGGGAGGGTAGTGCCCCAAGTGAAGTGAAACTTTAGGGCCCAGCCAGAGCCACCCCACACCCCTTGGTGGGGTAGAGTGATGGGCCTGCTACCCTCCATTGCTTGTGACACGTGGTTGGACTTACAAGCTTGGGTTTGGCCTTTCGGTTTTGTTTCCTGGTTGTAACCCCTTGGGCCTCCTCCCAGAGCTGCCCCTGCCCACCTGTGCTTTCCCAGGCAGTAAGGGGAAATCCCTGACTGACGGGGGCTGCTGGGACTTGGGCCAGGGTCCATTCAGATGCAGGGCCAACTTGGAGAAAGAGTGGGGCAAGCCATACCCAGGTATGGAATGGTGGGGGCTGACCCTTCTAGTTTAGGGAATGTGGCTCCTGTCCCTTCATGGCTGTAGACAAGTCATGGGAATGCTTGTGCAGTGTGTCTGTGAGGCTTGTGAATTTGGCTTCTAGACCAGGGAAACTGAGCCGACCTTCTGACATTTCACTGCCAGAGAGGGACCAATGTGAGAGAAACAGGAGCCGAGGGGGTGGGGCTGGCTCTGCCCCTTGCTTCAGGGGTGCCCACGGGATTCGTTGGCCAAGCCGCTCTTTCCACCCGTTTGCAAGCAGGATCCCAGAAAGATGCAGAGAAGGGAGGGCACTCCCGGGGCAGCCTCTGTCTCATGACGCCTCTGGCCAAGCCCGTCGGTACCAGCAGTGAGAAACCCGTTTCTTGGCTGTTTCCTACCACACTTTTTCCTGTGTCGTCGCCCCCTCTTCTCACACCTCAAAGTGAACATCTTGCCCCAGATGCTTTCCCATGTGAGAGGGAGTGATGCAAACTGCCGTGGGGGTGCCCCATCTTCCACTCCGCACACCTCATTCTGAGGTGTGAATAGAAACCACTTCGTTTTGAGACCGGGTTTTGCCATGTAGCCTTGAGCTCTGGCCCCTCCTGCCTTGAGTTGCTTAGAGGGCTAGGGTTACAGGGGTGTCCCGCCACACTCCCCCAGAAACTGCCTTGACGATTCGGGGTTTCTTGAACTCAAGATGGACCAGTCCTGGTTTTTTTTTTTTGTTTTTTTTTTTTTGTTTTTTTTTTTGTGGACACCTAGGAACTGTCTGGAGGCCCCAGCTCAAGATTGAGCTGGCTGGCAGTGGTGCCGGGAGCTCTGATCTGTCCAGACCCTGAGCCTCAGGAACCCTGGACAGTGGTGACCGCAGATGAGCACACTGGGCTGAGTGGCCATGGGCAACAGAACCCTCGGCCTCATACAGTTAAGAGTCCTGCTGCTCACCCCCTGCTCCCCAGACAGCCGGGCACTGAGCCCCTCCACAGGGTTGCCTTTCAAGCTACCATCTGCAGCAACTCATCTAGAAGGGCTGCGGAACATGGCTGATGGAAATCTGCCCAGCAGTGTGGGTTTGTTCTGGCTGCAAGCTGTGGAGCCAGGAGCTGCCCTGAGGCAGCAGCTAGGGAGCAGGCAGCAGATACACCTCACCTCCAAGTAGAGCTAGTGTGCAAACACCATGGGTCCCAGCCTACTCAGAACGGCCCGGGCTGGTCCTTCAGACTCCCAGCCTGTCCCCTGGTTCCCAGAACCAGGTCGGGCGTCTTGCTCCAGCTATCCTCCCTGCCCTGGGTGCAATATTCTGCCCTTTCTGAGCTCCTGTATCCTTAGAACAACTCACTGGAGCTTGAGTTCTAGCTCTCTCTGACCATAAACTGGACTTGCTGTCCAGGGAACAGTCTGCTCTTCAGATGGGGGAAGGCCCCGAAGCCCAGTTGCTTGGCCAGCAGCGGGTACCTGCCTCCTGCTCACTCTGTCCTTCTTGAAGCAAGACAGCAGAGAAGTCTCCTGGCACTCAGATTCTTTTTTTCAAAACTTTTATTTCTGTCTCTGTTTAGTGAGCAGTGGTGGACCTCGGGCCCCGGGTGGGCTCCTCCATCCCCTCCCTAGGAGGTACATCCATGTGGACATTCAGACCAGATGGGCCACCCTGCAGACCTGCCATCTCTGTGGGGATGGATGCGTGGGCCACATTCGGCTGGGAGAGACGCCCCTCAGAGGAGACGGGTCTGTCTTTCTTTTGCCCTGAAGGAACTGAAAGACAGGAAGGGCTCAGCTTGCTCTGCCTGATCCCCCATGCCCACCAGGGTCCCCTCTAGCTTGCCCAAGGCCTAAGCAAATTGTGAACCACGTTAGCCAGGCTGCTGGGCTGGGCCTCACAGTGCAAGCATTCATGGGTGTTTCTGAGTAAATACTTAAGGCCCTTCCACGATCCTTGGAGGGGAGCCCTTAGTAATAACGTTCCTCTGCAGGAGGACGGCCTTTTTTCCCAGGAAGAAACGGTCTCTTTGATGACACCTCCTGTTCTTTGAGAGGCAACACTCAGACAGGACTAGAAATTTTTCTACATCACTCAGAGTATCCCACTTCTAAATGCTAAGTATTTCTAAGTAGAAAGCGCCTGAGATAAGAAAGCCAGGGACCCAGGAGAAAGTCACAGAAACACGCTGTAGTGGCCCATTCTCATTGGTTACCAGTGCCAGCCCTTGAATCCCAGCTTGGCCACTTCCTGTTCCCCCTCTCAGTGCCCCCCCGCCACACTGTTTTCCTAGTTGTTCCTGGGCTAATGTTGGCTTCTACCTTTTAGCCTAGGTGTGTGAATTAAAACCGGCTCATAAACAAAACCACCTGACTAGCCTGGCCAGTGAGAAGCCCTTAGTGACGGTGGGGTACCATGGCCGCCGTGCCCACCTTTATAGTCCCCCCCCCATCTCTGCTACAGGCTCTCATGGGCGCAGGGATGGAGGTATGGTACAGAGAGCTCGAAGGTCTTAACTGGGGTGCGGGGACGGTGAATGAGTGTCGAGATCCTTGGGTCTCCTGTAAGCCCTCACAAGACACTGTGTGTGCAGACTGCTAGCAAGCCACCCTGCCTCTTAGGGGTGCTGGTCCTGCACACATACACACCCATGACAGATGAGGAGAGAGGCTGGCTTAGTCACCTAGTGGTGTAGCCCTAGCCTCACCTTCCAGCAAGGACCACAGGCCTTGTGTGGTAGGACCCTGAGGCCCCTAGCCCCTTGGCCTTCTCTCTGGTCTAGCTTCTCAGAGCAGACCAGGGACTCTAGGGCCTTTCCAGACTAGAGGACACCTACAGGATAGGGTCAGAGTGGCGGAGGTTGGAGGGGGTGCTTGTGTCCTGGGCCCACAGCCTGGCTCTTAGAACATTTGTGTGCCTGGAGCCAGAGAGCAGCATGCATCTGTCCCTATGTCCTCTTGTGTGGAGAAGGACAGAAGCGGTGTTCACCTTACAGACCTGGCACACACCAAACATTCAGCACCTGAGTTTTCTCCATTCTCCCTCCCGTGCCCAGCCTGGGCTGGAAGAGAAGGCTGTCCGGAGGGAAGGAAAGGCCTGGGGGTAGCGTTCAGGCTTCCAGAAGGAAGCTACCTGAATTGCTGTCAGCCGGCATATGTGCACTCTGAGGCCGAGAGGGTGGCAGGCCGCTGTTGCCCTGGGAAGGCTGTCTGTGCACGTGGGGCCGGGCATGCTGGGCCTGCTGAGCCTGCTGAAGCTGCTGCATCTGCTGCATCTGCTGCAGCTGTTGTAACTGCTGGAGCTGCTGCAGCTGCTTGGACTTGTGCTTTGTCATTCCTGGGGCAGGAAAGGACAGGAGGCAGGTCAGCACTGAGAGCTGTGGGGACCCATGGTGATGAGGAGCCAGCCAGGGTGGGATCTTTTACAGACTAAATTTGTGGCTATGCCCCTTAGAAACACTCGGTTCATCTGCCTATCTACCTGCCCGTCTGTCTGTCCCTCCATGCACCCATCGCAGATTCTCAGAGGACTTGTACACATCAGCCTTTTGTTAGGACTTAGAGTTCTGGCCCAGGCTCCGGGTTCAGGAAGCAGACAACAGGGAGGGCTCAAGGCATGATGGGAAATGGGCTGTTATGAACTGGAAGTGGGCTTTCAGGAGGCTTGGTGTTGGAATCAGATAACGGCCCTTTGTTGAGTTTTGGAAAGTCAGGGCTGGACCGCATTGACAAGGGAACTGAGACGGAGGTAGGAAAGCTTCGAGGTGGGGTGTGAGTGAGGATGAAGGCCAGTGAGAAAGGATAGAGCCTCTGCTGGGCGATTGGCTGGGTCTGGCTGCTGCCTTCCACCGGGAAACAGCCACCTGGCTCTAGGGAGGAGAAAGAAAATGCCTGGGGCCCAATGGTCCAGACATGCTTGTACCAAGAGAGACAAATGTCCTTTGGAACCCAAGCAAGAACCCAGAAGGAAGTCAAGGCTATCTGGAAGCTCACCATCTTTCCCCAGGATGCCTGGCAACCTGGTATCCATTCGTCCCTTGTAGATGTGTCCATCAAGGCCCAAGATATCAACCTCATCATGCTACGGAGAGATATGTGTGCCCGTTATCATTGTAACATTCTGAGTCTCCACGAAGGCTTAGCATATAGGCACCGCCAGCAAGCAGTGCTCAGCCCCCCCCCCCCGGGAATGGAGGAGAGGGGCACCTGCCTGTAGCCCTGGCTTTGGGGAGACTAGGCAGCAGGCATCCCACCAACTTGAAGGCTAGTCTCAGAGATAAAGCTAGTACCAGCCCAGCTCAGCCAGGACCACAAAAAACAAGACCCCTGTGTGGAGTCTGGGCTGAGTGCGAGCTGGAGGGAGGGAGAGTGGCGTTCCAAGGCCTGTGGCAGAAGGCAGTAGTGTGGTGTCTGGGAGTCGGGTGGGAGGAAGGACGGATTCTACTCAGCAGAGAGCCCGGGGCTTGAACTGGGTAAGGACTGTACATCCCAGTTACTTTGGGAGGCTGAGGCAGAAGGATCCTGAGTTCAAGGCCTGCCTGAGCACCTTTGTGAGAAGACCACGTCTCAAAAATAAGAGGCCGGGGGGGGGGGGGGGCTGGAGAGATTGCTCAGCGGTTAAGAGCACTAGCTGCTCTTCCAGAGGACCTGGGTTTAATTCCCAGCACCCACTGTCTGTAACTCCCATTCCAGGGCATTCTCACACCAACATACATACACATAAAATAAAAATGAATAAATCTTTTTTAAAAGTAAACAGAAACTGGGGAGATGCTTGCCTAGCAACCCCTAGGACAGGGAGGAAGAGAAGGAAGGTAGAGGGGGCTCAGGGCAGAGGGCCAAGTGATGGGGCTTTGGATGGCTTTCCAGAAGGGGCCTAACAGGGTTATCCTACCCACGGCTCCCATCAGACCTTCATGGCAATCTGGATCTCCTCCAGCGGAGACAGGTGCTGCAGGCGGTTTCGGCGGTAAGGGTAGGTGAGGGTGTGGCTGCCCCCACAGCGCCGGGGCACCGTGGAGTAGGTATAGTCTGCCGTATCTACCCCCCTAGGATGCAGACACGGGAGTCGCTTTGAGTCACCAGGAGTGTTACCGGCGACAGGCTGGTGTATAAGCCTGAGACTGTACACACCACACACCACGCATACGCGCCACTCTGATGCACACACACTCTCACACGCGCACTCTCTCACACACACACTCACCCCACCCCCCATTCCTAGCGATGGGGTGAGGCCTTTGCTCTTAACCCCGGGGCCAAGCTTGGTCCTCAGGGACCTGGGTGTCCCCGGGACTCTGGTGCTCCTACCGTTTGTAGCATGGGTGGCTGAGGCATTGAGCGTGCATCAGCTCTCGGATCATCTGGCTGCTGGCCTTCACGGAGCCTCCGAAGTGGATCTGCACCTTCTCGATGTCCATCAGCATCTTGGAGTGCATGCTGCGCAAGCGCCCCACACTCCGCTCCATCTGGGACAGATCGCCCCGAGAGAAGCTGCCGCCCAATTTCAGGCTGTGAGACGGGGCAGAGGGAAACAGGTCACAGGGCTGGACAGAGCTCTGGAGGCTTTTCTCCTGAGCCTTGTCTTCACGCTTCCTTTGGCTCCAGGACCCTGTTCGGCAGGACCCTGTGTCAACTGGGCTAGGGACCCACACCATGGGCCCTTGTCTGAGGGCTGAGGTGTCATTGGAGGGATCAGACTGGCAGGGAAGGTTTTTCCCTAGGTTCAAAAGCCCTCTTCCCCCACAAAACAAATACTTAAAATGTAACAAAAAATTTAAATACAAAACCAACAAAGTTAATCTAGTGCCCGCCCCCATCCCAATCCTGAGCAGAGACTCTTAGCAGCCCTCCCAGGGTGCCCTCTGGAGCCATCTCAGTCAGTCCCCCTCCCACCCCACCCCTGCCCTACCCAGGATCCCACTGTCCATACTTGCGGCTCTGCTGTCGGACCTGCTCTAGCTCAAATACAGTATAAGGCCGGATAGAACGGTGCCCTGGCATGCTGGGAACTACAGGGGTCATAGAGAGGACTCTGGGCGGGACAGAAGAAGGGGAGGGCATGAGAAATCCCACCACTTGGTAGCACCAGCCACCCACTGCCATGTTCTAAAGAACATTCCTAATGGCTCAGTGTGGGCCCCTAGGAAGGACCAGGGACAGAAGGGGATCCAGGACAGGAGGTGAGATGAATGGGGACAGGGAGACACACCCCCGGTTGTGCTGTCTTCTCCCTACCACCAGATGCTGTGGGTGAGGTGTGGACACTCACTGTCCAGTCACCGATGTCTCCAGGGGACGGTCGCAGGACAGGCAGTGGAAATGAGCCAAGAGCTGCCTGTCAGGAATGGGATACAGCACAGCAGGTGAGATCCAGAGAGTTTGGCTCTCCCGTAGGATGGGCCTGCTGGCAGCTCAGTCCACGAGGTGGCAGATCCTGCTCTACTTCCTGGGCATTCACCTGGCCCTAACCATCCCTCCCAGGTACACATCCTGAATCAGCTATCCAACTCAGTGCCTTCTGTAGCATTCTGTATGCCTCTGGTGCCCCCTGGTGATCACAAGTGGGATTTTCAGGCTCTGGTTCCCAAAGGTCATCTTAGCCCTCTTCACGCCTCAGGGTAGCAAGCACAACTCAATACCAAGAACCTTGCACCTCCTACTGCCTCTCTCCACCATGATCTGAAGGATACGACCAACTTTTTGAGGGGATGGGGTTTCAAGACAGGGTTTCTCTGTGTAGTAGCCCTGGCTGTCCTGGAACTCAGGTTGCATGTAGACCAGGCTGGCCTCAAACTCGCAGAGATCCCCCTGCCTGTGCCTGTCAGTGCCGAGATTAAAGGCCGCCACGCCCTGCTTAGTTATTCAACTCTAAAATGCAGTCCCTCCGCCTGATTGACAGTCCTGGGAAGAAAAGGCCCTCTGGGGCTGCCCAGCGTGTCACCTGTAGGTTTCCCAGTCTTCCTGACCTCACCTGCGCATGGCAGCTGCCTCGTCTGCCTGGTAGAGTGGAGAGCGCTCTTTGAGCTGCTGCCGCAGCGATTTCCAGCGGTCCTCCAGCATCTGCTTCAGTGGGTCCAGCTCCAGGCGGTCCAGCTGGGAGATGGGCACCGTGTGAGTTTAAGGCAGCAGGTAGATGGGGGAAGGGATCTAGCCTTGGAGAAAGTGGGCGTGTCTGACGGCAGGACCTTGCGTGGGGAGCAGCCCAGCCCGCCCTGCGCCTCCTCCTGCCCTCACCTTGCTGTCCATCTCCGCCAGGAGCTTGTCCAGAAGTTTCTGCCAGTCCTGCTCCTGTCCGCTCATCTTGGCCACCAGTTCCTGCATCATGTGGTTCAGCTGCTCGGTGGTGGCGTCAAATTGGATCCGGCTCACTTTGGACGCCAGAGCGCTCTTGTCTGCTTTCTGCCAGAGAACAGCGCGGGGGCGTGAGTGTTCCTCCCGGAGTCTGCCCCATCCCTCCGTAACCCCACCTCCTGCGCTGGCGGGGGAGGAGACAGGAAGGCTCCCGGGGTGAGATGCTCACTACATCGATCTCCAACTCCAGGTGATCTCGGTCAGCCTTTTCCTTCTCCAGCCTCTCTAGGCCCTGGTACAGCACCTGGGGACCCACAGGACAGAGGAAAGGCAGAGTCAGCGATGCTGAGTGGCGGGGGTGGGCAGGGTGGGATAAGCCTCGGCTCCACCCCAGGTGCCCTGGGCCTGCTCACTTCAATGTCTTTCTGCTTCTGCCGATGGTCCTCAATGAGGTTGCTGGTAGTGATGTTGAGCTTCTCGCAGTCGCCCTGGACTTGCAGGATGGCGCTCTGCACGTGACCCAGCAGCTCCTCATCCTGCAGCAGCGACAGGGAGGCTCTTGGGAGGCTGCTGGGCCGCCTCGTAAGCAGTCCCCTTTTAGCCCCCATAAGCAGGAGGCTGCCTTTTAGAACTACAAGCAAAAGTCGGGTGTGGTCATGCCGGCTTGTTGTCCCAACACTCAGGAAGCGGAGTGATTGGAAGTTCTAGTACAGTCTGGGCTGCGCAGTGAGGCTTAACAGAGAAGGACAAAGCTCGGGAGGTGGCCCCACACGTAAAATCATTGTTGCTAAGCCTGGTGACCTGACTTCTCCCCCGAGGAACTACATGGTGAACAGAAAGAACTGACTCATGCAAGTCGTCCTCTGACTTCTGCAAGTATGCCGTGATATGCATGCGTGTATGCATGCGTGCGTGCATGTGTGTGTGTGTGTGTATAATAAACTCACAAATGCTAAAAAACAAAACCATCATCCAACACATATGCTCACTTCAAAGTCATTCTGGCTTCCCCAAGTGTCATTCACTGACAGTTCTGTCCCTCAACTGGATGTCGTCACCCGTCCCCCACATGTTGATGGACTGGCATCGGTGGCCTTTGGAGTCCTCAGAGAGGTGACTGAGGCTTGGATGTGCTATGTTGTCAAACAGTCCCTGAGAGGTGAGGTGTGGGCAACAATCTGGGCTCCATCTGAAAGCCTGAGTCCAAGAGCAGAAACCAGGATCTGGTGGTGACCCCCCACCCCAGCCGCAAGCTTTCCCTCCTGGGAACGTCTAGAAAGTGCTGGAAACACTGGCAAGTGAGGGGAGCCTCACCCTCGGGCCCTCTGTGGGCTCTCTCCAGGGGGCCACCTGCAGCCAGCCTGGGAAGGAGCCCAGCAGAGACTCACCTGGCTCTGCAGCTTGGCCTTCTTGGAGGGCCTCGAGGCAGCCAGGCCGCTGACCATGTCCTGCAGCTGCTCATAGCGCTGGACCAGCAGGCTGACTTGGTGGCCCACATCCAGACTGCAGGCTGGGCAGGTGGCCTCAGGGTCGATCTGGCCGGGCACCAGGGTGTTGGTGGACTTGTGCGGGGTTATGCTCAGGGACAGCAGCGTGGAGGAGGAGCTCAGCATGCTCTCAATGATGGTCCTGAGCTTGTCCAGCTGGACGCAAGGCAGACATGAAGGGGGAGGAAAGGTCGGCCAAAGTCACATCTAACCACTGCCGCGGCACATTCAGCCTCTGACCCGCTTTGACACAGGACAGTCACTGCCTCCTCAGCACCTCACAGAGGATACCGCACACACACAGCAGACAGTTGAACTCTCCCCCATCAAACAGTTTTCAAACACTTTTTTTTTTTTGCCAGTAGGCAGCATTAATGACAAAGGAAGCACTTGTGTGGGGAGATCCCTCTAGCCAGTCTGGAGGTCCAGCGTGAGGACGCAGCTTCTGTAGCTAAATTCTAAAAGGATAGTCTCCCGTGACGCAATGCTCTTTCAGCACCGGGGGTGCGGACAGCGGGCTTTTTACACACGCACTCTCTCTCACCCAGGGTGGAAACTCTTAAGGATAAGCCAATGTGAGAAGCGCAAATACAGCTAGGGATCTCTTGGGGGTCTGAAGGCACAAGCTCCTTCCAGGGAGAGCTGCTCAGCCTGGCCCTTCGCCTTGCCTTTCTTCCCAGGGTCTTAGTGTGTTACCACCAATGGTTGGTCCTGGGTGGCCAGCTCGATTCAAGAGCAACCAACCTAGGCCTGCTAAGGATGCTGCCCGGCTCCACGAAGGGACACCATCCCCTCCTGTTGGGCAGTGACACCAAACAGATGCAGCTGGAGCTTAGGGAAGATATTTGAGAGGGTGTGAGAGACACACGTGTTGCTAGGCAACAGAATGGAGGGAGGTATGCACAGCCAGGATGGACGAGAAGAAAGGTACACAATACGAGCCAGGCCCGGGAGGTCAGGGGGAGCTGCCTGCCTCAGGCTAACCGAGACTGGGGTTTGCTCCTGCAAGCCCACATGCAACGCATTGTCCTTTTGTTCTGGGGTCACACAGTCATCAGCTTCCTAAGAAAGGGTCCTGACTGAAGGCCAGCCTGGCAGACGACTGCTAGGAGAAAAAAAGGCATCCGGTTCTCTGGGTCAGTCCTCAGGAAAGTTGGCTGTCTCAGTGGAGCCTTCGAGAACAAAAAGCGAATTCCTGGGAAATGAGGACCAGGAACATTCCAGAAAGAACAGCATAAGTGTGTTAGGAGAAAGGCAGGAAGGCCAGGTAGCCAGAGCCTGGCAGTGCAGGAGGCATGGAAGGTGAAACTTTCTGGAAAGGGTGCTAGGCTACCAGGAGCCCAGGTATGGAGGGCTTGTCCGGGACCCTGGGTTCCATCCCAGCACTGCAGAGAGAAAACAAAAACAAAGCAAACAAAAACACTGCAGAGGAGGTGGGGGTTGCGTGGGGTAGCTCTGTATGTAGTCGATGTGAACTTGGGGCTGGCAGGGTCCCTTGAATCTCTGAGCCTCCTCCTGCCCTTACAGGGCAATCAGCCTGGGAGAAGGAACTTGGGAAAGGGGGAGGTTGTGGGTGTAGCGCAATGAAAACACAGTCTGGCGTGTAAGGCGCTAGGTTTGATCTCTCCAGCGCCATGTCTGCTCAAGTACACAGGATGGCACACAGGATGGCTAACGGGCACAGGAGAAGGTCTCAGTATCACGAGTTACTGGGGAAACGCAAATGCAAGCCACAGTAACACTGCACACCCGCCAGAATGCGTGTAACTCTCCTAAAGGAGGAAAGAGGGGCTGGGGAGATGGCTCAGTACCTAAGAGCACTGGCTGCTCTTGTAGAGGATTCAGGGATCCCAGCACCCACTTGAGGGCTTGCAGTGACCTTTAACTCCAGCTCCAGGAGATCTGACTACACCTCCTTCTGAACTCCACGGCAGCTGTACTCACGTGTGCGCATACCCACAACACATACACACATGTGCATAATTGAAGATGAATAGAATAAATGCGAGAGGAGAAAGAGATGCGTGTTGTGACGATGGGGAGGAACTGCAACTGGCATCCTCTGCTAGTGGGCTTTCACGTGGTGCAGCTACGTGGGAAAATAGTCTGTCAGTTCCTCGGACATCCCGGCGTCTCACCACCTGCCACCACTCTGGGCTCCATGCCTGAGAGCAAAGTGTGTGTGCAAATGGATGCTCACACTGGCGTGAGCCCTAATAGCTAATCAATAGCAGTCCGGCCGTTCACCTGAATGGAGGTGGAAGCTGCCCTTGCTGTAGAAGGGAATACACGTGTATGGGTTTTGTTGTTGTCTTTTCAAAGTTTCTCTACATAGCCCTGGGCGTCCTGGAACTCACTCAAGATTTGCCTGCCTCTGCCTCCCAAGTGCTGGGATTAAAGACACGCGCTATCACCACATGGCCAGAATGAAATTTTTTTTTTTTGGTTTTTTCAAGACAGGGTTTCTCTATGGTTTTGGAGCCTGTCCTGGAACTAGCTCTTTTAGACCAGGCTGGTCTCAAACTCACAGAGATCTGCCTGCCTCTGCCTCCCGAGTGCTGGGATTAAAGGCGTGCGCCACCACCGCCCAGCTCAGAATGAAATATTTTTGAGTCACAATAAAAGTGGGTGCTGGGAGGCAGGCTGTGATGGCCTGCGCCTTTAATCTCAGCATTCAGGAGGCAGTGGCAGGCGGATCTCTGTGAGTTCGAGACCAGCCTGGTCTACAGAGGGAGTTCCAGGACAGCCAGAGTTACATAGAGAAACCCAGTTTTAGAAAACTGGGGAAAAGGTGAATCCCCATGAGTTCGAGGCCAGCCCGGTCTACAGCTAGGATTGTTACATAGGGAAATCCTGTCTCGAAAAACCAAAAAAAAAAAAAAAAAGGAAAGAAAGAAAAAAGAAAGGAAAGAGAAAGAAAACTGGGGCCGGGTGGTGGTGGCGCACGCCTTTAATCCCAGCACTCGGGAGGCAGAGGCAGGCGGATCTCTGTGAGTTCGAGGCCAGCCTGGTCTACAAGAGCTAGTTCCAGGACAGGAACCAAAAAAAGCTACGGAGAAACCCTGTCTCGAAAATCCTCCCCCCCAAAAAAAAGAAAGAAAGAAAGAAAGAAAGAAACTGAGGGAAAAGGGGGGGCTGCAACGATGGCTCGGTGGTTAAGAGCCCTTACTGCTCTTGCAAGAGGCCCTGGGTTCTGCACCCTCATAATGGCTCAAATCATCTGTAACTTCAGTTCCAGGGGATCTGTTTCTGTACTCTGAGGGAACGGTATGCGTGTGGCACACTTACACACGCAAGAACCAGAATATAAATAAAAATCAATTTATAAAGATGAAAACTAGAATAAAGGGCAGGAGAGATGGCTCAGTGACAGAGCACGTGTGACTGTGTGCCTCGACCGGAGAGCCTGAGTTTACACCCGGCACCTGCAGCAGGGGTATGAGTCCCCTGCGCTCCAGCTCCAGGAACCCGACGCCTCTGCCCCCTGAGCAGCACTCCCTCCACACACCCATGGCACAAGCGTCACCAATAGACAAGCTTGTGCGGGAAAGAGGAGCTCTTGGGGCCTCAGTCTTAGACAAAACAACAACAACAACAACAACAAAAAAAACTGAGCAGAAGACAGCGTCTCCTCCAGGGAAAGGACACCAATACCAAATGGTAACATAGCCCTGAAAACATACATATAAGTGACATATAAACTAAGCAGGCTGTACTTTTTATTTATGTGCCCTGGTGTTTTGCCTCTAGGAAGATGCTGGCTACCCAGGAACTGGAGTTACAGCTGTGAGCTGCCATGTAGATGCTGGGAATTGAAACTCGGTCCTCTGGAAGAGCAGCCAGCGCTCTTAACCCTTGTGCAATCTCTCCAGCCCGAGATGGTTGTACTTTTTGTTTTTAATGATTTATTTATTCTTATTTTATGTGTATTGGTGTTTTGCCTGCATGTATGGCTGTGTGAGGGTGTCAGATCCCCTGGAACTGGAGGTACAGACAGTTGTGGGCTGCCATGTGGATTCTGGGAATTGAACCCAGATCCTCTGGAAGAGCAGGCAGTGCTCTTAACCTCTGAACCATCTCTTCAGACCCCTGTACTTTTTTTTTTTTAAGATTTTATTTATTTATTATGTATACAACATTCTGCCTGCATGAAGAGGGCGCCAGATCTCATTACAGATGGTTGTGAGCCACCATGTGGTTGCTGGGAATTGAACTCAGGACCTTCGGAAGAGCAGCCAGTGCTCTTAACCACTGAGCCATTTCTCCAGCCCAAGACCCCTGTACTTTTATATTTATGAACACACACATACACACACACACACATACACACACACACATACCGCACACGCATGCACACACCCGACCACCAAAAGCAATGGAAGAAAAAGAGGCCATCAATTTGAAAGAGAATAAGGGAGGGCTTATGGGAGGACTTGAAGGAAGGAATGGAAAGGAGGAGGTGATGTAATTATATTATCTCAAAAAGCAGGAAGAAAATGATCAAAAATAATAAAATACCCTTAAAAGATGTATTTTATGACAGGTGAATTACAAGAAATACACAAAAGGAAAGAGGCAATGAAGGAAACTGTCTCAGCTCCTACACTGATGCCCTTGTCCCCAGCCCATAACCCCTCCCATCCTGCAATGTTTTGGCTGGGAAGCATCCCCCAGAGGTGAGTGCGTGCGTGCGTGCGTCTGAACCGAACCCTTGTTTCCACAGCTGCTGCTCCCTTCGTGCAGACGTGCAGACGCAAACAGAATCTGCTAGCTGCCTGTTCTGGCCGCCATACTTTCCTCGTCATGGCGAACTCTACCCTTCTCTAAGCTGCTTTTGGTCATGGTATTTTACCACAGCAACAGAAAAATAACTCCAAACTGATCTCCACTGGGGGAGGACTGCTCTCTGTCTCAGACTCTGGGGGGCGGGTGCTGGGCCCTGGGGCCTTGACCACAGACCGCTCACCTGATCCTGCAGGTAGAGGGAGGCTTCAGAGACTGAATTCTCCATGGCGGCCTTGCCTCGCTCTTGGCTCTCCCTCAGCTCAGACAGCTCCTTCTCGATATCGGAGACTGTGACCCTGCAATGTCAAAGAACAGCGGCTCCTGCCACTGGCCCGGAACCCTTTGCTCAGTCGTGCAGAGGCCTGGCTGTTGGGGACACAGCAGGATGAGAACATCTGGAACCCCTGTTTAAGGGTCCCAAATGGGGTCCTGCGGTGGGGACATAGCATCTCTGGGCTCCTCCCGGTCCTGGTGCTGATGTCTGCCAGGCATCGAAAAGACTACGGTAACCTGAAGAGTTGGTACAATCCAGGCGAGAAACACGGGTCAGCACATGGGGAGGCAGAAGGCCACCTCCACCGCCTGAGCTTTAACCATGACGACAGCCAGGGTGCCAGCGGAGAGAGGGTGTCACCTGAGGATGCCCAGCTGCAAAGTCAGCTGATTGGGCTTCATTTCCTTCTCTGAAGAGCTGTCGCCATCTATCAGCCTCTGTATCTTCTCCAGCTACAAACAGAAAGCAAGGAGACGAGCTGTCAGGCGGACCCAAGTGTCTGCTGCCAAAGGCGGCCCTCGAGAGATCCAGCCCTTTGCCATCTCACGGCTGAAGCTCTGACAGTGGCCTCTCTCTCTAGATGTGACATGAGGAGCAAATGCGTGTCCAGGGCCCCCTGTATTTTAAAGGCTCTGCGTACCCATCTTTACGGCTGAGATGGGGTTGTGTTTTCTATATGACTGGGCGATAAGGATCCGCTGAGACCCCAGCGTAGGGGGAGGGACTGTGGGCATCCAGCCTAGCAGAAACCACCCAGTCTCTGATTCACCTCAGGACTCTAAGGAGGCTGACCCTCCCTTACGCACTCTGTCCTTGTCCTTCCGCACTTCCTTGGTCAAGGTCTTCAGGCTCTTCATCTGCTCCTGCAGGTCCTGAGGTATGATCTTTTTGACTGTGGGATACGGTGGGATATGGAGACTGCCATCAGGGTGTGGTTCCCATTGGTCTCCCTGCCTGTTTCCAGTCCCTTCCCTTGGTGAGGAACTGACCCCAGAGGTCAAGCGGGAAAATGACTTGGTCCTGCTTCTCTGGTGACTGAGCAAGGAGGCAGGGGAAGCGGGGAGGACCAGTATGTGCCCAGAGTCTCACCCGCTGCCCCCGACATTCTCATCTACCACTGTGTGAGTGAGCAAACATTAAGCTTCGTTCTAGAACTCTCTCGCTTGCCACTCACCTCCAGGCTCTGGCCTCCAGTGAGGCACATGTCCAGCCCCTCCCCTCCCCCACCTGGCCTTCGTTTCACACCTCCCTATCTGTTCCTCAGGCCTCCCCACAGGCTGTGGGTGTGAGAGGAGTCACATCTGGGCAGGAGCAGGCTCTGCTTGTGGGGGTGGGGATGGGGTGACACCCAGGAGGAAGGCCAAGGCTGCTTTCCCTCCACAGGAGGTGACACTCACCCATCCTGGAGAGGAGGTACTGGACTTTCTCAAAGTCTGACTGGCCAGAGAGGTCCTCATCCAAATCCTTCATGTGCTCTTTCAGTTCTGTATAAAGGCTAACAATCTCGCCCATCAGGCGGAATGTTTCCACTGCCATGGGGAAACTTGGGGCCAATTTCTCCAGTGACTCCTTCCGCTCGCTGTGGACCTCACTGCCTGAGGAGAGTTGCTGGGGGTAGTTCAAGGACACGCGAGTGCTGGAGCCAGTGGTGTCTTGGTCTGTGGTCGCCAATTCAAATTGAACAAAGGCATGTTTCCTGCTCAGATCCCAAGAGGCCTGGCCAGACGCATCAACCGTGTGTCCTCGGCCAGGGTAACCCAGGACAGCCTGTGTTTGGTCATACTGGATTCTCGGGCCTTGATGATCTGGGCCCTGACGGTCCGTGATAGGAAATATATTTTGCCTGGCTTGTTCAGGAGTTAGATATAGATCTGGTTGAAAGCCACGGAGCTCTATGCTTGGTACTACGAAGCCTGGTTGACTTGAAACGGGTTGTCTCAAACCACGTGGATGAGGAGCACCAGGGGGGTATGCACCAAGTGGAGCCAAGCTAGGCATGTGAGCACCAGGCTGAACCAAACCAAGAGGGCCTGCCCCAGGTTGAACCAAGACACGAGGGCCCACACCAGGCTGAACAAAACCAAGAGGGCCTGCACCAGGTTGAACCAAGCCACGAGGGCCCACACCAGACTGAACCAAACCAAGAGGGCCCGCACCAGGCTGAACCAAGCCACGAGGGCCCACACCAGACTGAACCAAACCAAGAGGGCCCACACCAGGCTGAACAAAACCAAGAGGGCCCACACCAGGCTGAACAAAACCAAGAGGGCCTGCACCAGGCTGAACTATTCCTGGTTGCATCATACCAAGCCCAGCTGCCCTGGGCTGCAACAAACCAGGCTGATCTACCCTGGGCTGTTGTGAGCCAGGCTGCACCAGGCCATGCTGAACTGCTCCAGGCTGCCGAATTGCACCAGGTTGCACAAAACCATACTGATTCATACCAGGTTGTGCCAAACCCTGTTGACCCATTCTAGGTTGGGATAAGCTGCTCTCCTCTGCACCAGGTGGTACTGAACCACTGCGATCTATTCCAGGTCGCATCCAATCGAGTTGATCTATGACAGGTCGCATCAAACCACGCTGATCTTCACCACGTTGTGCTACACTTGGCTGAACCAAACCATATTGACCTATACCAGGTTGGACCAAGCCAGGTGAATATGTATCAGGCTGCATCCAACCACCAGGGAATGTCCCAGGTTGCACCAGGCCACGCCGAACTGCGCCTGGTTGTGCCATCCCGAGTCGATCTACACCAGGCTGCGCATAACTCCAGTCTGCACCAGGCTGCACAAAAGGTTGTACCAAACTATCCTGAATTATACCAGGTTGCATCAACCCAGGGGCATAAGCACCTGGTTGTACCAATCCCTGCTGACCCATTCCAAGTTGTGCCAAACCATGCTGTTCTACACTAGGTTGTACCAAACCAAGCGGAAATGAACCAGCCTGTACCCACCTAGGCTGATCTGTGCTCGGTTGAACCCAAACAGGCTGACCTGTGCCAGGTTGCACTAAACCTTGTCCTACGCCAAGTTGTGTCAAATCAGGTGGATATACACCAGGCTGAATCAAGCTAGGCTGGCCTGTATCAGGAGGTACCAGCTGTTGGTCTGTGCTGGGCTGTACCAAACCATCCCAATCAGCACTAGGTTGTACCAAATCACGTTGCTCTGCCCCTGGCTGCACTGAACTCGGCCTAGCCTGTCCAGGATGTGCTGAACCTTGCCAACTTGCCTCAGGCTGCACTGGGCTCCGATGTTCTGCCCCAACAGGCGCTGAACTTCGCCTCTCTGCCTCAGCCCGCACAGAACTCCGCTGATCCGACCCAACAGGTGCTGAACTACGTCTATCTGTTCCAGTCTTCATCAAAACACGCGGGTCTACACCGGGCTGCACCAAGCCACGCTGATCTACACCGGGCTGCACCAAGCCACGCTGATCTACACCGGGCTGCACCAAGCCACGCTGGTCGACACCGGGCTGCACCAAGCCTCGCTGATCTACACCGGGCTGCACCAAGCCACGCTGATCTACACCGGGCTGCACCAAGCCACGCTGGTCGACACCGGGCTGCACCAAGCCTCGCTGATCTACACCGGGCTGCACCAAGCCACGCTGATCTACACCGGGCTGCACCAAGCCACGCTGGTCGACACCGGGCTGCACCAAGCCTCGCTGGTCTACACCGGGCTGCACCAAGCCTCGCTGATCTACACCGGGCTGCACCAAGCCACGCTGATCTACACCGGGCTGCACCAAGCCACGCTGATCTACACCGGGCTGCACAACGCCACGCTGATCTACTCCGGGCTGCACCAAGCCACGCTGGTCAACACCGGGCTGCACCAAGCCATGCTGATCTACACCGGGCTGCACCAAGCCTCGCTGGTCTACACCGGGCTGCACCAAGCCTCGCTGATCTACACCGGGCTGCACCAAGCCTCGCTGGTCTACACCGGGCTGCACCAAGCCTCGCTGGTCTACACCGGGCTGCACCAAGCCATGCTGATCGACACCGGGCTGCACCAAGCCTCGCTGGTCGACACCGGGCTGCACCAAGCCACGCTGATCTGCTCCAGGTTGCACCAAGCCTCGCTGGTCTACACCGGGCTGCACCAAGCCTCGCTGGTCTACACCGGGCTGCACCAAGCCACGCTGATCTACACCGGGCTGCACCAAGCCTCGCTGGTCTACACCGGGCTGCACCAAGCCACGCTGGTCTACACCGGGCTGCACCAAGCCACGCTGGTCTACACCGGGCTGCACCAAGCCTCGCTGGTCTACACCGGGCTGCACCAAGCCTCGCTGGTCTACACCGGGCTGCACCAAGCCACGCTGATCTGCTCCAGGTTGTGCGAAGCCTGGTGCTGCTAAGCTGGGCTGTCCAAAGCCTTGTCGATCTGTACTAACTTGCATCAAACTAGGTGACATCAAGCCATATTGATCTGGAAGAGATGGAGGGAATGCACGCTGATCTATGCCAGGTATTACCAATCCCTGCTGATCCACACCAGGGGTGATTAGTCCTTGCTGATTTGTGCTTAACATTACAAATCCATGCTGATTTATGCCAACTGGTATCAACCCTTGTCTACTCGTGTCCCATGGTCCCACACCACTGTCATACGTGACAGCCTGTTCCATGCCATGTTGGTCTGTTCTAGGAAGGATCACGGCTTGTTGATACATGCTGAGTGGAACTGCAGCAAGCTGAGTTGTACTAGCTTTTTCCAGTCTTTGTTGACCCCTGTCAGGTACCGACCGTGGCAGTACACCACTCTCATCCATAGCGAGAGGCATCAATCCCTGGTCATCCATCTCTGGTGGTAATACACCCAGCTGAGGTAGAGTGAGGGGTATCACAGCTGAAGGATAAGGGCCAGGATAGAGCCCTGGAGGTTGATCCATGCCAAATGGTGCGATCCTACGCTCCTCTGGACTTGGTAAGACTTGGTCCTGACTAGCGGGTGCCCCAACATGCTGGTCTGTGACTGGAGGTACGACTTTTGGGGTTGGGCCAGGCTGTTGTTTGTCTCTTCTTTTGCCTGTGGGAGCCGCAGACTCTCTCATCCTCTGCCGATCTGCTTCTGATGTGACCTGGGATGGCTCCCGGGCCCGTGAGGGCAGATCTCTGGCTCCGCTCTGGTCTCTGCCAATGATCCTCTCAGGGGGGCGCTCCACACCGCTGGCTAACATCTGTTCTGGGCCACCGGCGGAACCCAGAGCCTGGCCATCAGCGGGGATCTTGGGAAACAGTCCACTTGGAAGGTCGCTTGATATTGGCAATGTCATTTTACGCTTGCCAAGCGTTGCCGACGATGAATCTGAGCTCTGGGGAAAGAGGAGGAGGGAGAGTGGTTACAATCGCTAAGAAATTGGAAAAGCTGAAAGCAAGGCCATCATGGGTATTGGCTAGGATGACTTAAGGCCCTTGCAGAAACGCAGCCCTGTGCGAGTGTGTGTGAGTGTGTGTGTGTGTATGTGAGTGTGTGTAAGTGTGTGTGTGAGTGTGTGTGTGTGAGTGTGAGTGTGTGTGTGAGTGTGAGTGTGTGAGTGTGTGAGTCTGTGTGTGAGTGTGTGTGTGAGTGTGTGTGTGAGTGTGTGTGTGTGTGTGTGTGTGTGTGTGAGTCTGTGTGTGAGAGAGTACGAGTGTGTGATGCCGGGCATTAAACCTGGGCCGTGGAAGTATTAGGCGGGTCCTCCACCACTGAGCCGTATTCTGAGTCCTTCGTTTTTTACTCTTTATTTTGAGGCAGGGGCTCCATAAATTATCTAGGCTGGCCTTGAATTTCTCATCCTCCTGCCTCCACCTCTGGAGTGCTGAAATTACAGCCGTGCTCCGCCATGCGCAGTTTGTCAGTGGTGCGAGGACTGACCCCAGCGTTCTGTGTATGCTCAGCAAGTAACACCAACCAAGCTACAGCCCCAGCCCCTGGCTTGGCTTTTTAAGACAACCCCCAGGTTGGCCTTGAATTTACAACTTTCCTTCCTCAATCTCCCTGCCTCTTACAAAGACCTTTGTGGTAAAAAACGTCTTATCTGCAGGATCCAGGGGATTCTCCTTAAGATCCTTAACCTCATCAGACCTACGAAGTCTCTTGTCATTGAGAGGGAATAATGGTGGTTTTTAGGAACGACGTTCTTGGGGGCTATTTAGCTTAGCACAGAGACTACGAAATCCTAGAAAAGTGACCACAGCAATGACAGAAGTTGTGGGAAACAGAGTCCTAGACAAGGTGATGCTGTTTTTGTCAAGGGTGTCAGATGAAGCCCACACCTGTCTGAGGATGCTTCATGTATGGGCAGAGCAGCAGCCTAAGGAAAATGAAACTTGAGCTGGGACAGTGGTGGCGCACGCCTTTAATCCCAGCACTCGGAAGGCAGAGGCAGGCGGATCTCTGTGAGTTCGAGGCTAGCCTGGACTACAGGAGCTAGTTCCAGGACAGGCTCCAAAGCTACAGAGAAACCCTGTCTTGAAAAACAACAAACAAACAAACGAAAAGAGAAAAAAAAATTGGTTACTTGGTTACTTGCTTCAGAATATATTCCAAAAACCACAAACAAACAAATGAAAAGAAAAGAAAAAAGAAAAAGAAAAACTTGGTTACTTGCTTCAGAATATATACCTGGGGGAAGTGGGCTGGGAGATGGGCCAGTGGATAAAGACATCGGCCACCAACCCCTGGGACCCATGCTGTGAAAGGAGGAACCCGCCTCTTTCAGGTTGTTCTCTGATCTCCATTCAGGCATCGTGGAATGCACACAGCCGTACACACAGAATAAATTGAAGTGTAATGAAAGTATATAATATATATTGCAAGATTTTGAAACAGTTAATTGAGAATAGCTCCTGATTAGTAGAGACAGCCTCCAATCTGGGCAGACCGACACCTGCTCACAGGCTTGCCTTCGTCTTCCTCCAGTTTTAACTTCAAAGTTTTGGGGAGATTTGGAATTTGGATGCCTCAAGATTATGAGGAGGGCCAGGAGTGGTGGTGCATTAATCTCAGCACTCGAGAGGCAGAGGTAAGCAGGTCTCTGAGCTCAAGGCCAGCCTGATCCACAGAGTGAGTTCTAGGACAGCCAGAGATATACAGAGAAATCCATCTTAAAAACTCAAAACCAGCCGGGCGGTGGTGGCGCACGCCTTTAATCCCAGCACTCGGGAGGCAGAGGCAGGCAGATCTCTGTGAGTTCGAGACCAGCCTGGTCTACAAGAGCTAGTTCCAGGACAGGCTCCAAAACCACAGAGAAACCCTGACTCGAAAAACCAAAAAAAAACAAAACAAAACAAAAAAAAAACCTCAAAACCAAACAAACAAAGAATACCAAAATATGAGTAGAAACAAGATTTCTTGTGTGTGAATGTGTGTGCACATATCTTATGTGTGAATGTGTGTGTGCATCTTTTTGTGTGTGAATGTGTGCATCTTTTTGTGTGTGAATGTGTGCACCTTTCTTGTGTGTGAATGTGTGCACACATTTCTTGTGTATGAATGTATGCAAATTTCTTGTGTGTGAATGTGTGTGTGCACACTTCCTGTGTGTGAATGTGTGTGTGCACATTTCCTGTGTGTGAATGTGTGTGTGCACATTTCCTGTGTGTGAATGTGTGTGCCCACATTTCTTGTGTGTGAATGTGTGTGCACACTTCCTGTGTGTGAATGTGTGTGTGCACACTTCCTGTGTGTGAATGTGTGTGCCCACATTTCTTGTGTGTGAATGTGTGTGCACATTTCCTGTGTGTGAATGTGTGTGTGCACATTTCCTGTGTGTGAATGTGTGTGTCCACATTTCTTGTGTGTGAATGTGTGTGTGCATATTTTTGTGTATGATTTTGTGCTCACCTTTCTTGTGTGTGAATGTATGTGCGTGCACATTTCTTGTGTGTGAATGTGTGCACGCATTTCTTATGTGTGTATGCACTTTTTCTGTGTGAATGTGTGTGTGCACCTTTCTTGTGTGTGATGCGTGTGTGCGCAAATTTCTTCTGTGTGAATGTGTGTGTGTACATTTGTGGAAGCCAGAGATGGTCACTGTATGTCTTCCTCAATACCTTTTCTTACTCTTTTTGAGGCAGGGTCTCTCATGAAACAGCTCACCAAATTCAGCATGGCTCACTGCCTAGCGTGCCCCAAGGATTCTCTTCTCTTGTATCTCCCTCCTCAGAACTTGGATTACAGGCACACACCTCTGTGCCTGGCTTTACAGGGTTGGGGACTAAGCTCAGTCTTCATACTGCATTTGCTCACTGACTGACTCTTCCCATCCTACCCTGGATTTTTCTCTTCTTCCTGGCTCTCAACAGGGACCTGAAAAGTAAGACTTTTGTCTTTTTTGAAGATTTTTTTTTTTTTTTTGGTTTTTCGAGACAGGGTTTCTCTGTAGCTTTAAGACATTTGTCTTTTGCTTTACCTTTAGACCTTTAGCCTGCGAGGCACCAAAGCTCGGTGTTTCATAGGCTTTGTTTGTTTTGTTTTTGTTAGACAGGGTTTCTCTCTGTATTCCTGGCTGTTCTGGAACTCACTCTGTAGGCCAGGCTGGCCTCGAACTCACAGAGATCCTCCTGTTTCTATTTCTCGAGTGCTGGGATTAAAGGCATATGCCACTACCACCCAATTTGGCTTTTGTTGTTGATGATTTTTTTTTTTTTTTTTTTTTTTTTAGTTTTTCGAGACAGGGTTTCTCTGTGGCTTTGGAGCCTGTCCTGGAACTAGCTCTGTAGACCAGGCTGGTCTTGAACTCACAGAGATCTGCCTGCCTCTATGATTTTTGTTTTTTGAGAGAGCGTTTATCTGTGTAGCTTTGGAGCCTGTCCTGGAACTCGCTCTGTAGTCCAGGCTGGCCTCGAACTCACAGAGATCAAGCTGGCTCTGTCTCCCAGGTGCTGGGATTAAAGGCAAGCACCACTACTGCCTGGCTCTTAGCCTTTATTTTTTATTAAGATTTTTATGATTTAGTTATTTTAAGACAGGGTCTCATTATGTAGTCGTGGCTGACCTGGAACTCTTCATGTGGCCTAGCGAATCCTGTCTACAAAGGTCATGTGAAAATAACTAGGCTTGCCAAGCGTGTGGCGATCACGTGTACCAGCTCAGGATGGACAGACACATACATTATCGGGGGCCTCTTGCTAGGTCACTAGCTCCGGTTCTGATCAGCCTGGTCCTAAGGGTCAAGGAATGAATGTTTTTTAGGATGGGCTATAAAAGAAGTCTGAAAAGCTAGAGAAGCAAAGGAGAAGGGGCAGCATCCTCTACACAGTGCATTGGCCGAGCTCGACAATGTGGGCACTGGCATACAGTCTAGGTGCGAGGAGGCTTAATCTTTCTCCACGCTGCTGTTTGGACTCTAAGCTGGGGCAACATACAATCGCAATAGGGAGACAGAGCATGAAGGTGTGCTTCCCAAACCCAGGAATTTATCCAGTTCACTCAGGTCAATGTCATCCTGGGAAAATTATTTTAGATCTCTGCAACATAGAATGTACAGAATAAATCATGAAGATGCAAATACCAGAATATGGAGCGGTGGTAACTATAAGACGTGTTCTCTGGAACCCCGCCCAAGGCCACTGCCCAGGACCCCTGTGGGTTTACCCCTCTTGAAGCCTTCCAGCCATCAGCGATTGCTTGTTCCAGCTCCTCCCAGGTGACCATGGTGAGTTCTTCAGTACCCGGAGCAAGATTCAGCCTCCGATTCAATTGATCCTGTCAGGAACAGATCGAGACACGGACACAAACATGAGTACACATAACACATTCATCCTGCAGATCTGACCCACAGGCTTGAGTGGGTGCTACCACCAGTCCCAGCCTCAGAAAGATTCACTGGCTTTCAGCCACCAGCCAGAAGGGCAGAACTGGCCAGTTGGTTTGTCTCCCATGGACTCTGAATAGAGCCCTGAGCAGAGATAGCAAGGACTCTCTTCTCCCCACTATCTGGACGTGGTGTCTCTTAGGGGCAGAGTGCCTGAACCTCATCCTGAAAGGAAATAGATACTGGCGTGGGGGAGGGGAGTTGGGACCATCTCTAGAGAGAAACCAGACTGAAGAAAAACCCTCTGAGTAGGGCCCTTTCCCCAGGGCTTGTCCATATTACCAGGTATTCTTCTCGGTCTTTGACTATCTTCTCGAGTTCACTGACACGCTGAAGGAGTTCCTGGAAGCAGAGTTTGGGAATGGGCCATCACTCAGCCTGCCTGTCTGCACCACATGCACATGTACACACATGCACACACTCACACATGCACACACACATGCACACACATATGCACACACTCACACATGCACATACACACATGCATACACACATGCACACACTCACACATGCACATACACATGCACACACTCACATGCACACACTCACATGCACACACTCACACATGCACACAAACACATGCACACACTCACACATGCACATACACACATGCACACACACATGCACACACTCACACATGCACATACACACATGTACACACATGCACACACTCACACATGCACACACACATGCACACACTCACATGCACACACTCACATGCACACACTCACACATGCACACACTCACACATGCACACACTCACACATGCACACACTCACACATGCACACACACATGCACACATACTTGCACACACTCACACATGCACACACTCACACATACATACACATGCACACACTCACACATGCACAGACACATGCACACTCACACATGCACACACTCACACATGCACACTCACACATGCACACACTCACACATGCACACTCACACATGCACACACACATGCACACACTCACACATGCACACACTCACACATGCACACACTCACACATGCACACACTCACACATGCACACACTCACACATGCACACACTCACACATGCACACTCACACATGCGCACACTCACACATGCACACACTCACACATGCACATACACATGCACACACTCACACATGCACACTCACACATGCACACTCACATGCACACACACATGCACACTCACACATGCACACACTCACACATGCACACTCACACATGCACACTCACACATGCACACACACATGCACACACACATGCACACACTCACACATGCACACACTCACACATGCACAGTGCCTTGGAGCAAAGCAGAGAAGGAAATGAGGTGTGTGTGGCTCTCAGTGAAGGGCCGAGTTTCTACCTAGTTTTATCTGGGAGGTAAAGCCAGGTTCCCAGTTCTTTTCCTTGTCAGTGGGAAGGAGGGAAGTGGGTTACAGAGGCAGCAGTAGCAATAGTGCCCAGTGTGCCCAGTCCATGTTCATGTGGGGCTGAGACTGCTAGCCCTTGCTTTACCTCACACTGCCCACTGCCAAAGCTTCTAGCCCTACAGCACAGGGCCTACCTTGACTCTCCAGAATCAAATACCAGGTCCCTCAGCATCCTGCCAGTCTGAGCCGGGGCAGGAGAAAAGCTCTCAAGGGTCCCAGCAAGTGACCAACACTTCAGTTGTACGACTTGTGCTGACCGCCAGGATCTAAGACTAGATTTTGAACAGACCTTCCAAACTCAAAAGTCTAGAAAAGGCCAGGCATGGTGCTGCGTGCCTATTATCCCAGTCCTTGGGAGGTGGCTAAAAGGATCCGGAGATCAAAGCCAGCCTTGGCTACACAGTTAAATTCAAGGCCAGTTGGACTACAAGGAGACCTTGTTTCAGAAAAATAGTGGGAACTGGGTGGTGGTGCATGTCTTTAATCCTAGCACTCAGGAAGCAGAGGCAGGCAGATCTCTGTGAGTTCGAGGCCAACATGGTCTACAGAGTGAGTTACCAGGACAGGCACCAAAGCTATACAGAGAAACCCTGACTCAAAAAAATCAAAACAAAACAAATAGTCAGGCAGTGGTGGTATATGCCTTTAATCCTAGCAGGTGGGTCTCTGAGTTCAGGTCAACCAAAAAAATTCCATATTGATGAAGGCTGCTGCCCTACAGACTGGTCCAACTAAAACTGGCTACAACCGCGTCTGTATTTATCTGTATGTAACAACTCTGCTGCTTTGTTCCGCTGTACAAGATAAAGACACTTCGGGATGATGGTTTCTTTTTCTGAGAGCCTGTACTACTCAATCTCAACTTTCTCCCTCCAATCCAACCCCCAACTCCCACCCCCTTGTGTGTGTGTGTATGTGTGTGTGTGTGTGCGTTCCTCGTTCCTTTGCTGCCTATGCTTTAACCTCTGAACCAAGTCTCTAGCTCCTCTTGGTAGGTTATTTATTTATTTATTTATTTATTATTTTGTTTTTTTGGAGGCACGGTTTCTCTGTGTGGCCTGTGTAGCTTTGGAGCCTGTCCTGGAGTTCAGTCTGCTTCCAGAGTGCTGGAATTAAAGGCGTGCAGCACCACTGTCTCCCTCTTGATATGTTTTTAATGACTCTAGGAAACAGGGGATGGGCTGCAGAGATGGTGCAAGTAAGAGCACTGGCTGCTCTTGTAGAGGACCAAGGTCAAGATCTGTAATTCCAGTTCCAGGGATTTGACGCCCTCTTCTGGACTCCCCAGGCACCGCATGCATTGTGGGTGCACGCACCTGCAAGCGAAACACTCATACACAAAAAATAAAATTAAAGCCGGGCGGTGGTGGCACATGCCTTTAATCCCAGCACTCGGGAGGCAGAGGCAGGCGGATCTCTGTGAGTTCCTGGCCAGCCTGGTCTGCAAGAGCTAGTTCCAGGAAAGCCAGGGCAACACCATGAAATCCTGTCTCGAAAAGAAAAAAAAAAATCACAAACATACAACAACAAAAAAAGAAAGAGAGAATGAAAGAAAAAAAGAAAGAAAAAAAAGGAAGGAGAGTTGTGTCAAAGAATCACTCTGCTTGTGGGGTGTGGCCCCTGGGATGTCCTCACCTGGACGGTCAGCTCAGGTGACTCCTGCATCGTCTGGTGGGCTTCTTTCAGAACCTTCATGTCTTCTATGAGGTCTTGGAGCACACTCGAGAACTGCGAGAGAGTAGGAGCCATGTGAAGCCGGGACTAGCACCTCTATCAGCTTAGAGTAGCCAGAAGGCACAGAGGCTCCGCAGGGTCAGTCTACCTACCTTAGCTGGGCTGGTATCTTCCTTTGGTTCTGTCCCAGGGGGCATCCCCACTGTGGACTCAGACTTGTCCACCATCTCCGTGGATTCGAAGGTATTTGTGGGCTTTGTCAGAGATGTCTTTGGGGATATATGTGGGGATATATAATGTGGGGCCAGCAGAGCCATCTCCTCTTCCGTCTTGGGGAACTCCTGGAAGAGGTCAGTGCCTGTGGAGATGTGTTCCACGTGCGTGGCAATGCCCTGTACTTTGTTGTCCATATTCTTAAGCTGCTTGCTGAGGTCCAGGACCTGGCTGCCCAGGTCCTTCACCTGGATCTCCAGGGTCTGCTGAGATGACTGTTTGGTCACACTCCGGCGCTTCTCTTTGCTGCTTGACACTTGTGTGGTGCTGATGGCATCTCGGATCAACTCAGCTGAGTGGCCAGGCTCAGTTGCCGACGGGTTGTGGAAGTCAATCACTACCTGTTGGAGGTTGAGGCTCTTGAGTATGGCCACTATCAGGGTATGCAGGGCCGTGAAGTTCACCGCTCCCACCTCTGGAGTGCCGATCGCCAGGTCGGCCAGCTCCTGGAGGGTGACCCTGTTGGCCGCTAATGGCGACATTGTGTGCTGTTGGGATCCGCGGGGAGCCCCAGGGAAGAAGGGCGAGCACGGCTCGGCTCGCTCCTTGCAGAACTAAGGGGCCACCAGGGCTCTCAGCAGGTGACCCTACTTGTGGCTTTGTGGCCTCCAAACTGGAGCCCTAGGCTCCTCTCCTCCGTTCCGGCCAGTGGACGTTTGGAACGAGGGCGCACGGTTTGCAGCCCCCCCGCGTTGCTGAGGCGCGGGACTGCAGAGATTCTAACTAAGAACGTGCGCTGGGGCCAGCCCTCACTGCGACCAGACTCAAAAACTACGGTGGAGGCTTAGACCACACCCCAAGGTGCCTCCAGTTTTTCAGTAATGCTCCCAATGAAGGGGTAATGGGCCTGGGCCAAGAGCATCAAGTCTGTTTGGAAGGAGAGGCTGCACTGTCTTTCTGTGGGTCCACCAGACTCCAGGCTCTCAACAGAGAAAGCCAGATAGATCCTGATGGCTCTTGTAGGGCACCAGACACACAATGATTTAAGGGGCATCATGGCGACTTGCAGCTAGGTAGGCAGGTCTAAGAGATATAGTGCCCATGGCAGGTAGGTGTGTGTGTGTGTGTGTGTCGGGGGAGGCGAGAGTGGGGTCTTTAAACCTCTTTGGGGGAGTTTCTAGATAATTTTGTTCACTCAAGAGTTTGGCAAGGCTGTCCTACCCTCATTTAGCTCAAAACAGAACTCCGGGGCTCTCGGCTGAAGTCTTCTATCAGAAAACATTATCCGGCTCTTTTCCATCTTCCTCTCAGAGAGGCAGCTTCGCTTCTGCCTCCCTCCCCACTTCTCTGCTTCCTCCCTTCTCTCTCTCCCTCTCTCTCTGTCCCCCCTTTCACCCTTCCTCCTCCATAACCCCCTGAATAAACATTCAACCTCACCTTGCAAAAAAAAAAAAAAAACAGAAAACATTATCCGACAGCATTTCCCCCTTTCTGGTCTAAATAAAAAGGAAGGTTTTAACTTTAACATAGTTAAATTATATACAACAAAACAGGTATCAAGTAGAAATTACAGTTAAAATATCCAGTCCATTTGTATTTGGCAAAGCTCAGAGAAAATATTCTGGTATCTATTTTATCTTTGTGAGTCTAAAGTTTCATATCTAACTTACCTTTTTGTCATACTTTTGTGATTCCTTTTTTGTCTTTTGTTTTACAAGATAGGGTTTCTCTGTAGCTTTGGAAGCCTGTCCTGAAACTCACTCTGTAGACCAGGATGGCCTTGAACTCACAGAAATCTATCTGCCTGTCTCTGCCTCCGAGTAAGGGGATTAAAGGCACGTGCCACCACCACCTGGCTAATATTTATTTATTTATTTATTTATTTATCATGGACAGTATACTGTCAGCAATTAAGGCAAGGGAAGTTTCTTTGCCCACATAACTAGCTTTTGCCGTAAAGAAAGCAAACTCCATGCAAAATTTCTTTGATATCTGTTGTCTTCTTTTGAAGTAAATGGGTCTTGTCAGGAGCAGACATGTCTCACTGTCATGAAAAGCCTTAGGTTATTAAACATATTAAATGCCATGTTCTATAGGTCTTTGAAGTGTTTGAAGATCATCTATCAATCTGTCTATCTATGTAAACATATCAGAGTATTACCTTGAAAACATACTTAACATGACTACAGATTTGATTTTAATAGGCGATTCACTACTAACTTGCATTTTTCTAAACAGTTTGCAGTAATTTTCAAGGACTAGAAATATACACTAAATTGTTAAATGAGATGCATGTCTTAAACAAGAGTCAGAACATATATTCAATACACTCTAACAAAAATAACCTGAAAAAAATTGTATCAATATACAAAAATCCATCCCAGTGTAAAATATTTAAGACTAGTAGTTGCTTTTTAGATAAAGGTGGATTCCATAATCTATGCTTTTATCCTATTATTTCTGTATCTCCCTTCCCATTTTTCTTTTTAGAACAAGATCCCTGAATCTAATCTTTTTTCAGCTTTTTTTATCTGACCATTACCAATAACAACTTGTAACCAATCCCCTTAAATGATGACAAACATCTATAACCAATATTTTGGGAATATGGGTGCTTTTCTTGTTGTCTGGGGGTGCTAGTATCTTTGGTGGACCCTTGAGAAAACCGGGATAATAATGAACTCTGAGCTGCAGTATTCCATGAGGTTGGACCATCTCAGCCAGCAGCCTTGAATGTGTTGTGGATGCAGAATTTTGAGGACACTCTAGCAGAGGCATTTTGAAATGATGGGATTTCCATTGGTGTTTGGTCCCCTCAGTTTGAAAATACATAAACTTCTTTTGTTTTTTTTAATTTTAATTTTATTGATTTTTATTGAGCTCTACATTTTTATCTGTTCCTCTCCCTGCCTCTTCCCTCCCCTTCAACCCTCTCCCAAGGTCCCCATGCTCCCAATTTACTCAGGAGATCTTGTCTTTTTCTACTTCCCATGTAGATTAGATCTATGTAAGTCTCTCTTAGGGTCCTCATTATTGTCTAGGTTCTCTGGGATTGTGATTTATAGGCTTGTTTTCTTTGCTTTATGTTTAAAAACCACTTACGAGGGCTGGAGAGATGGCTCAGAGGTTAAGAGCATTGCCTGCTCTTCCAAAGGTCCTGAGTTCAATTCCCAGCAACCACATGGTGGCTCACAACCATCTGTAATGGGGTCTGGTGCCCTCTTCTGGCCTGCAGGCATACACACAGACAGAATATTGTATACATAATAAATAAATAAATATTTTTAAAAAAAACACTTCTGAGTGAGTACATGTGATAATTGTCTTTCTGGGTCTGGGTTACCTCACTCAAAATGATGTTTTCTAGCTCCATCCATTTGCCTGAAAATTTCAAGATGTCATTATTTTTTTCTGCTGTGTAGTACTCCATTGTGTAAATATACCACATTTTCCTTATTCATTCTTTGGTTGAGGGTCATTTAGGTTGTTTCCAGGTTCTGGTTAATACAAACAATGCTGCTATGAGCATAGTTGGGCACATGTCCTTATGGCACAATTGAGCATCCTTTGGGTATATACCCAAAAGTGGTATTACTGGGTCTTGAGGAAGGTTGTTTCCTAATTTTCTGAGAAACTGCCACACTGACATCCAAAGGGGCTGTACCAGCCTGCACTCCCACCAGCAATGCAAAAGTGTTCCCTTCATTCCACATCTCCAGCATAAGTTGTCATCAATGTTTTTGATCTTGGCCATTCTTACAGGTGTAAGATGGAATCTCAGAGTTGTTTTGATTTGCATTTCTTTGATGACTAAGGATATTGAGCATTTCCTTAAGTGTCTTTCAGCCATTTTAGATTCCTCAATTGAGAGTTCTCTGTTTAGGACTGTACTCCATTTTTTTTATTGGATTATTTGTTCTTTTGATGACCAATATCTTGAGTTCTTTGTATATTTTGGAGATCAGACCTCTGTCTGATATGGAGTTGGCGAAGATCTTTCCCCATTCTGTAGGCTGCCATTTTGTCTTGTTGTCTGTGTCATTTACTTTACAGAAGCTTTTCAGTTTCAGGAGGTCCCATTTATTGTTTCTCTCAGTGTCTGCGCTACTAGGGTTATATTTAGGAAGTGGTCCCCTGTGCCAACGTGTTCAAGTGTACTTCTCCCTTTCTCTTCTCTAAGGTTCAGTGTGGCTTGCTTTATGTTGATGTCTTTGACCCATTTGGACTTGAGTTTTGTGCATGGTGATAGATATGGGTCTATTTTCATTCTTCTACATGTTGATATCCAGTTACGCCAGCACCACTTGTTAAATATGCTTTCTTTTTTCCATTTGATATTTTTTGCTTCTTTGTCAAAAATCAAGTGTTCAAAGGTGTGTGGATTAATATCCAGGTCTTCGATTTGGTTCCATTGGTCCTCCTGTCTGTTTTTATGCTAGAATCAGGCTGTTTTCAGTACTGTAGCTCTGTAGTAGAGTTTGAAGTCAGGGGTTGTGAAGACTCCAGAAGTTCTTTTATTGTGCAGGATTGTTTTTGGCTATTTTGGGATTTTTGCTTTTCCATATGAAGTTGAGTATTGTTCTTTCAAGGTCTGTGAAGAATTTTGCTGGGATTTTGATGGGATCTATAGATTGCTTTTGGTAAGATTGCCATTTTTACTATGTTAATTCTACCTACCCAAGAGCATGGGAGATCTTTCCACTTTCTGGTGCCTTCTTCAAAGATTTAAAGAAATCTTGTCATACAAATCTTCACTTGTTTGGTTAGAGTTACTTGGAGATATTTTATGCTATTTGTGGCTATTGTGAAGCGTGATGTTTCTCTGATTTCTTTCTTAGCCCATTTATCATCCGTATATGGGAGGGCTACTGATTTTTTTTTAAGATTTATTTATTTATTATGTATAGAGTGTTCTGTCTGCATGTATGTCTGCAGGCCAGAAGAGGGCACCAGACCCCATTACAGATGGTTGTGAGGCACCATGCGGTTGCTGGGAATTGAACTCAGGACCTTTGGAAGAGCAGTCAGTGCTCTCAACCTCTGAGCCATTTCTCCAGCCCCAGGGCTATTGATTTTACTTGTATTCTGCTACATTGCTGAAAGTGTTTAAGAGTTGTAGAAGTTCCTTGGTAGAATTTTTAGGATCGCTTATATAAACTATCATATCATCAGCAAATAGTGAGAGTTTGACTTCTTCTTTTCAGATTTGTATCCCCTTTTGGTCTCCTTTTGTTGTCTTATTGCTTTAGCTAGGACCTCAAGAACTATATTGAATAGATATGGAGAGAGTGGACAATCTTGTCTTGTTCCTGATTTCTTTGGGATCACGGTGAGTTTCTCTCCATTTAGTTTGATGTTGCCTGTTGGCTTGCTGTATATTGCCTTTACTATATTTAGGTATGTTCCTTGTACCCCTGCTCTCTCCAAAACCTTTATCATGAAAGGATGTTGTATTTTGTTGAAAGCTTTTTTGACATCTAATGAGATGATCATGTGGTTTTTATTTTTTAGTTTGTTTATATGGTGGATTATGTTGACAGAT